AAACTAAGACGGTGTGCTCAAGTGACTGAAAAAGCCATCTAGAAAGGCAAGGAGAGAGATGTAGGTGGCATGTTTTTTGCTGCTTGCTCAGGCAATTACTTTAATGAGAAAAAGGTGAGAGAACTTTGAAAGTGCAATCATCCTAGACTTCCTGGATACAATGGGTATGCAGCAGACCATTTAAACCTCAGTGACAGAGAAGTAAAGACCTAACACAGTCCAAGCACACCTTGTGAATATTTCATTCACAGCTAGCATCCACCCCATGGTTGGATGAAAAAAGAAGAATGGATGAGCCAACAGTGAGAGTCAGAATGATCATCTCTTTGCATTTACATCCAACAACTAAAAGCACTAAAACTTGGAAGCAAGTGTGCTGATTTTTACACCACAGGACCTTGCAAATAAACCTTCAAATTGCAAAAGCTATTGTAGGTATTTTTGGAGAGACATGACACACAACAGGCAGCCTGCACTGTTGCTGTCACCATGGAAATGTGTTTTGGTCTAAATCGGAGGTTCTCAAACTGTGGTCCACGGGCCACCACTGGTCCAGAAGCTCCATTCAGGTGGGTGGTCCGCAGAAAGGTGACCTAAGGCTAAAGCTGGCAAGCATTACACCTGACTTCCTAGAACTTTGCTCAAAAAAACAGGCACATCCATTGCATTCGAAAGATAAGACTGCTGATATAAAATATGACTTGTGTTTTGATTTGTAGAACAAAATAAAGTTTATTAAGTGGTCTGCCAAGACCCTCACCAATTTTCCAGTGCTCTGTGGGGAAAAAAAAAGTTTGAGACCACTGATCTAAATAATTGGTCCATGCATGGCAAGATTAAAAAATCATTCCAAGAATTTATAGAATCTGCCCTTTACTTAGTTTGTCCCAAACACCATAGTGAAGGTTGAGTCCAAAGGAGGAAAAGACAGTTGAACCATAATGTTGAGAATAACTCTGAGTTCATTTGCTCTCTTGTTCATTTTAAATTGAAGATCCAGATTACAACCTCAGCTCTGTTTCTGAAGCAGGCTTTTCTTCATAGATAATCACCTCAAGTTACTGGAAAATCATACAGATAAAATCACAAGACTTCTGAATTGGATCAGTATCAACTGACTGTTGAATACATTTGAACCCATCTGGTCAGAAGTGTACTTGGTTTGGTGCTGTAAATGCTAATAGCTTGTTATGATAGTAGAAGAGTAACGTTGTAGCCGTGATGGTCTAGAAATGGTGACGGAGGAGCAGAAGAGTCTGGAGAGGCTCCTGACTCTTGAGTCTTCAAAAAGCATGGTGCTCAGCTCATTGGCCTTGTGGAACCTCAAAGGAAACCTTGCTGAGTCAATAAACAGCCTGTGGCTTTGGGTGTAAAATCCTGGCCTTGATTTGGAGGAAGCTCAAGGAAGTGTGTTCCAATTGAGCTAGTTCTGTCCAAATAAGACTGTTTAGGCTCAAGCCCTTCACTGAAAGGCAAAAAGAGGAAAAGAGATTGTGTTGGCCAAGGCCAGAGCAGGGGGGCTCTGCATTTAGGGTCTACTTAACTGCAGTCCTACTGTGAAGTCCGTCCAAGGCCTTATTGCATGTTGGTGTTGTGTCAGATTAATTTGGAAGCCCTGAAGTAAGAACTGGAAAAGACCTGGAAAAGGTTCAAAACATGAGCCTCTTAGAAACTTTATGCATCATAGCACCTTGTTGCCATACCTGTCCAGAAGAGTGCATCTCTTTTCTTTCAAAGATGCATATAAGCACCAAAGAAGTATTTTGCTGTGTCAGCCTTGATACTGTGGGGTTTTGTTTCTGCAAACAGTGCTGAATGAAGCCTAATCACACAGATAGAGCTGCAGGAAGCCATTGTTGAATTATTTGAGGAAATCAACAGCAAGGGCATAAGTGTTTCATTACAGAACTAAATTATTTGAGAGCCAGAGTTGTGCATGTGGATTAAATTAGAACTACCACCATTACTTAATATGTAGAAGGACTGTGTGTTCCCAGCATCTTTTTAAAAACCGGAACCAGAAATAATGGAGGACATGTCACAAGTAAACTCTTTGCTCATCAGAGATCCACCTAAAACCATGGCTGGCAGATAAGTCGTTTATAAACTGTCACTAAATTGTTCAAAAGAAAAATGCTGAAGTTGTATTTTATTTCACCCCTTTTGTGAAAAGCTGCAGTGAGTGAGGCTGTGTTTGCACAGCCCTTTTTCACCTTCCTACTGAGGAACATGTCTACCCACAACCAGAGAGTCCTGGGTACCCCCACCCTAGCCATGCCTCTCAACTTCTCTAGACCACCAGTAACCAGCTCCATTGGTCAAATCCACCCTGAAGGCCATATGTTTGACACCCCTGCTCTATAAAAGTTGCTTCATTTGTTTTAGCTATTGAGAGGCGCCATGGATAAGAAAAAATTCTGCAGCACTGAAACAGATGGATGCTTACTCAGCATAGCACTCATTCCTCAAAGTCTTTGTCTAGACGAGTACTGGAAGCAATGGACAACCTGAATTAGAAGTTTCACAAGACTATAACCAGTAAATATTGGTAGATCTAAAACTGTTTCATCTGAACAACCTTTGTATGCAGTTCATGCTAAATTGAAATCTTTATCAAATATTGCTGCTCCTTACCAGACTGACTGCCCTTTGTTTCATTAATCCACAAATCAGAATTACTGTTTATCCAGCTCTCAAATTAAACATGCTAGGCCGCGTTTAACTCCACTGAAGTCTGTGGTTCTTTCACTTTTAAGATTTTGGAGTAAAAACAGTAAAATTTTGCTTATAATACCATTGGTTTTAAATCTGAAGGTAGGACAATTCTGTTCTGTGTATAAAGGGACAGCCAACAACAAGGAGGAAGAGCACCTTTTCATATAAGTTTGCTAATCCTAATGAGGAGAGCTTTAAAGCAAGTTCAACAGAGGTGAATGTCCATGCATAAATAAAGACCAAGGAAACCTGGATTAAGGCCTAGGAAGAGGAGTCAATATGGAGCACCTTAACAAAGTCATAAGAGGAAAATTAGTAGAGGCCATCTCCAATGCTTATATACTAATACAAGAAGTACAGGGAATAAACAGGAGGACCTGGGACTCCTAGTATGTATACAATTACGATTTAATTGGAGCAACTGGGACTTGGTGGGATAGTTCACATGACTGGAATATTGATATGAACAGGCATAACTTGTTTAGGAAAGACAGGCAGAGGAGAAAAGGGAGGTGGTGTCATATATATTAAAGATGCATATGTTTCTTTTTCTGGTGTTCAGAATGAGGGGAGAAGTAGATCTGTTGAAAGTCTCTGGGTTAAGATAGAAGGGAAAAAATAACAAGGGAGGATATCATTGTGGTTGCCTACTATAAACCAACCAACCAGTACAAGAAGATATGATAAATAAAGCTTTTTAAACAACTAGTGGCAGTTTCCAAATCAAAGGTTTGGTTCCTAGCTACAAGGTTTTGCCCCTCCACTTAGGGTCAAACTGATTGGGCACTGTAATTCAACCAAGACATGGAGCATTTGAAAACAATCCAGAGGGCAAAAAATAAATTTAGAAAACATGACCTGTTTGGAAGGGCTGGATGAACTGGGATTATTTAGTCTGAAAGAAAGAAGACTGAGGAAGGATTTGATAAGTCTTCAAATACAAAGAGTTGTAAAGAGGAAGATGATCAACTTCTTTCTTGCCATAGGGGATAGGACAAGTAGTAATGGACTTCAGTTGCAACAAGGGAAGAGTCAGATTGGTGGTTAGAAATAGTTTTCCTATTATGAGGGTGATTAAGCACTGGGACACATTAACAGAGAGAGGATGGTGGAATCTCTAGCCCTGAAAGCTTGTCAATGCAGGATAGACAAACGTTTGTTTGGAATTGTTTAGACATATTCCTATTCTGAGCAGAGGAGTGAACTAGGTGACCTCCTGAGGGTTTCTACAGTTCTGTATTTCATGTGGGTCTCTTCCAAGGAAGAAAATACAAATTCGTTATTTGGAATTACCTTTAAATATATTTGTTTTTTCATAGTTTTCTATGCTCAACTTTGCTTGGCACTGATAAATATGTTTTGATGAATTCCAGGTTCATAAAATTTATACTATAGAGAAGTACCTAAGGATAGATTATGTAGAATCTGTGCACATACCCCATAAATTGGCCTTCACTGCTGCAGTGTTTCTTTTAAAATGTTGAAGCATCAAAATGATATGATGTGGACTCTTCATCCATATTTACAAGATACCTGCTGTCCCACCAAACTGATCCATAATTGGGGTTCTTTGTTATTGTTAACGGTCTTTGCTGAGGCTTCTTTTAGCTCTTATTTGTCTTTTGTATCATGAGAAGGTGACTAGTGTACACGGCCTGATACTTTTGTGTCCTTTAGCTGTAGAATTAATGGAGTCTATATGTATTTCAGAATTTAGGGTGAAATTCTGCCCTCAAATGAGCCTAAAGCATGCCTTTTGCAGGGCTGCCCACATGGAAACCAATAATATCTACATAAGAAATTATTTGAGAAGAATGTATTCTATTATAAATAGGATTGATCTGATCCAGTGTATGGTCATTTGAGTTTTGTGCAGTTGTGAAGATTAGTGGTTTATTTTCCTGAAATATCTTGAACTTAAGTTCATGTTTCAGGCTAAAACCATACATCTTTACTACTTTTGTTCAATAAACTGTTCTGAAAATAAGTTTAAAATGATCCACTAAAGGGACCCTGCAACAGCAATTAAAAGGCGTGGATATGTAATCCCATCTTTCTTTGGAGGGAGGGGCTGGGAGGGAAGAGGTGAAGAGAAGGCAGTCTCCAGGTTAGAGAGAAGATAAGGGGACCAAGTAGATCTCTTTGCTGTGAAGGGAATGTCCGAGTCAATAGCAAGATGTTATAACTATTGCTGAATAAAAATGAATGAGGTTAAAGAATGTTTGGAATGTTGATGCTTTTTCCGGCTAAAATATCTCAATCTCATTTTGTCTTTTTTCTGTTAGGAAACTTTATGTGGAGCTTTGCCAAGGTATAGTGGATGTAGCCATCTCCAGCGTCTTTCCCCTCAGCGAGACAGCACAAAAGCAGAGCCAGCCATCAATATTTGTTAAGCTGTGATGAAAGGCCATCTCAGCTACATACATGGGTGAACTGCCATCTGTTGAGTGAAAGGAAAGCTGTTTGATCATTTATGTTAGTATCATGCCAAAAAGAGATATCCACAAGGAAAAAGTCACAAGGAAAAAGATAAGTCTCCAAGGAGAGCTGAGGACAAGCCAAAGTTGTTCAGACAACTCTGCCTGTGTTTTACCAAGCTTTACATTAAGAACAGCTCTTTGATAAAATTAGACTTTAACTGAAGCAGATCTCTCTGGGAGAACAGCAAAATAATGTTTATTAAACTGGGATACAATAATATTGTATTACTTCATCCTTTTTTTTAAAAAAAAGAAACAAACCTTTTTCCTTTTTGTTTTAATTAATAAGGCAATTTAGTGAACAGTATCAGTAATCTTCCAGGACTTCATGCTTGGAAGTTTTGTCATCTCTTGGTGTATGTTTTCTTGTTTCCTCACCTGCTGCAGTTTTAGTGCCTTAGCTCAGTTCCAATAGGTGATTCCTTTTTGTTCTTGATCCTTTACGTAGAGGTAAAAAGGTCTCTTGCTTTGTTGGATGTGTAAAGCAAGAAAAAATAACCCATTTTTGTTTTTTTTCTTTAACCAGCTAGCTAAACACCTAATAATAGAATGGCAAAGAGGCTATTGACAGGATAATGTGCGAAGTGCAGTGATTTAGCCTACCAAGTGAAAGAGGTTTTATTTACTTTTATCCCCGTTTCTAATGAGATTTGAATCAGTTGTCCATCAAAGTCTGATATAGCTAGAAAACAAACACTGAGACCTCTTGTGCTGACCTGCAGTTGTCAAGGTCCTGACTCTTCTGTGGGGAATGCTCATAAAACAGAGAGTCCAGTTTTCTTGGAAAACTGGCTCAGAGATTTCCAAATTATTTTAATTCCACTCTCCTTCCAGCTTTTCCATTTATAATGCTTTCATTTTTATTAAACAAAAGAGTCTTATGTTAAAGGACCAAGTCTTTACAGACGTTATTTCTTATTCATTTTTTTTTTAAAAACTCTTCATGTTACCTTAATGCACTTGACACTAAAAACTTTTCAGCCCAACTGATTGTGTTTTTCTCCATTTGACAAACATTAAATTTTTCTGCATTTACAGGCCAGCACCAAAAATGACTACTTTGTGCCCCAGGCATTATCAGTCATAAATACCCCCAGACCTAAGGAAGTTTTTTGTATGAAAAATAGTAGGGAAATGTTAACTGCACATTTGTTTTGTTGCATGATTTTGCAGTCCTTTTTACGTTTCTTAAGGTCATTGAATTTAGAAACCTGTATACATTTTTAAATGTAGCCAAACTTAATGTATGGAATCCTTACAGTTTTCCCCACTTCATCACAAACAGTTCCTGTAAGTCTGATTCAATTTTCAGTCTAAGCAAGTTAGCCATCTTCCCTCTGAGCTTTGTCTCTTTGTAGAACACTACTTCAGATCAGAACTTTGCTCTGTCATCTCTGACAATGATATCACAAATTCAGTTCATAGTTAACTACATTAATGATAGTGATCTGAGCAAAATAAAATGGGCCCCTGTCACTGAAAATGCATTTAGACACTACATGATTCTAGTTGTGTAAGTTTAGAAAAATGGATCAAGTTGTATAGTTTTTGCCTCCTAGGACAGGCTTGAGCACTCTTATACACTTACCTCCATTTAAAGCTGAGCTTCCTCAGCTCTAAATCAGTGCCAGTGTAGAACTCATCAAATTACTAATCCTGGCAGCCTTCCTTACTGTGCAAAATCATTGATGTTCATTAATTTCATTCACTGGATGCAGGGAGTATCTCTTCCATATTTGATTATTTATAGCAACAACAGGTTTGGAGTGGGCTCAACAGCTCATTTTTAGTTTTTGTTTCTGAAAACTTTGGCCACATGATTATCAGATCATCACCCATTGCCCTTTCTGGCTTTCATTGTATTTAGTGTAAATAAATACCTCTTTATGGCTTTGCCACTTCACTGCAGATCCCTAACTCTAGCCTTGAGGCTATGGAGATAGTTCTGTTGGGCATGCTTTTCTTCTGAAATGTCCTTTGAACATCATTTGATACTTCAGCCCACAGTAGGAGGGGTGGCATTGAGCATTAGGAAAGCAGTTAATATTCCTTGGTTGCATGGCATTATTTTCCTGATAGCAATTGACAAAGGACAGATCTAATCCCACTCCTGCTGTTTAGCCAGGGGACAGTGTAAGGGCAGGAATTTGTTTTGCGGTCAGGAGTTGTCAGCTGGGTTTTCATAGCTGCAGAAAGGAAAGGAAACTTTTTTTTTTAATTATTATGAAGAATTGGTACTTGGCTCCATTGCAAAATATGGTTTTGATACTGATATTAAAATAGACCCAATAAAGTGCATCAGTGAAGCGTATGAGATATTCCTAGTTCATATGATGATGATTAATAAGGCCAGAGGCTTTGTCAATAAAACACCAATCATTATAAAAGTATATTCCTGTTTTGGTGCTCATGTCTTTGGATTTACACTGTCATTGAATGAGTGTTCACAGAAATGTCAGGAATTCAAAGGTACTGAAATGTGTATATATAGAATGTGCAAAGTCCAGGGACTTTTAGATTTCCACCATAACATGAAATGTTAAAGATAACATAAAAGGTAAGCTGCATAAGCTTCTCTTAAGCAGTAAGTGTGAAATGAACTCAAGTTTTAAGTGTATAAATAGCTTTATTGGTGGCAAAATTAATGTACATTAGAACTATAAAGAGATTGCAATATTATATACCAGAAATTAAGAAAGATGACTGCTATAACATGGATAAAATGAGTTTGCTTGGTTATGTAAACGGATGAGACTTCCAAAAAATGAATGTTTAAACTTGGGTTTTTTGTGTCTGTATCTATGTTCCAAAATAAGCTGCTTAATTTCCAGTGAAGCTGAGCCCCGAACAGCTCCTATTCATTTTCTGAAAGCTGCAAAGAAAAAAAAAAAGGAAATAAATAAGCTTTTAAACGCTTAAAAATCTTTGTGGGTCACCTTGGAATTTATATTTCACTACCTGATGTGAACTAAATAATGAAATGCAAAATAAGCTGTCTGGTCAACACCATGATCAGGGAAATCTAAATTAAAAGCAACTCAAAAAGGATTTTTTTAAAAATAAGGCTTTCCCTTTTGTACTTCTATATAATGTGCAAAATTATGACTCCTGTTTTTATGTTTAGAAATACAAGCTTGTATTTTTTCCTGGATTTCATAAAGAACCTCGTGGATGTTGGAGGATGTATGTTGTAAACTCTAAACTCATTTAACTGAGGAGGGAAAGTGGTGTTGAATCTTTATACACATTTTCTAGATGGTAAATTTTAAGAAATACTGGGGTCTAACTTACTGAGCTGATAATATGCTTAAAGCTACTGCTTGCCCTGTCTGTATAGAAATTTTCACATTAGCTAGCATAAGCTTAAAAAACAATTTTTCCTAAGGATGATGAGACCGAACAAGGTTTCCATGGTTCTATGAAAGATCTCCTTTCTTTAGAATGTTAACTAGAAATTTGCAGCTAAGTAGATAGATATTAACCAAAAAAAAAAAAAAATAGATTTGAAACAATAATTAAACCCCCATCGCTTCTCAGTTACTGTAACTTTCATTCTTGGTTCCTTTGATTGGGATTAGACAAATTTTCAGCCACACAAACATTGGCAAGAAAATGCAGTTTTGCCAGTGAATTGTTTTATGGCATTTTTCAGATTGGTGGGGAGCAGGAATCATAAACATTACAATATTTTGTTTCAAAACGACATTTGTCAGGCTGCAGTTGGAGTACTGCGTCCAGTTCTTGGCGCTGCACTTCAGGAGGAATGTGGCTAGTATTGAGAGGGTCCAGCGGAGGGCCACTTGCATGGTCAGGGGGCAGCAGAGCAGGCCCTATGAGGTGAGGCCACGGGACCTGAACCTGTTCAGCCTCCACAAGAGAAGGCTGAGAGGGGATCTGGTGGCTGTTTATAAACTTACCAGGGGGGACCAGCAGGGAATGGAAGAGTCCCTGTTCCCCCGAGCACTACCGGGAGTAACAAGGAGTAACGGCCACAAGCTGATTGAGAGTATGTTCAGGCTAGACATCAGAAGGCACTACTTCACAGTCAAGGCAGCTAGGATCTGGAACCAACTTCCAAGGGAAGTGGTGCTCACTCCTACCCTGGAGGTCTTCAAAAGGAGGCTACATAATCACCTTGCTGGGGTCATTTGATCCCAGCATTCATTCCTGCCTATGGCAGGGGGTCGGACTTGATGATCTGGTAAAGTCCCTTCCGACCCTACCAACTATGAAGCGATGAAAACATTTTAATGAAAATGAAAGAAATTAAGATGCTCTAAATTAAAGCAAAAGACTTTGTTTGTTCTAAAACATTTCACTACCTCTTCAGTGATTGTAGAACAAAGGTTCCCAACCACTAGGCCGGTACCAGGGTTGGCTGCTAGGTTGTGGCATGAGTCCCCCGCTCCGACCCCCATCTGTCTGCCTGGGTGAGTGGCTTCCAGGGTCACAGCTGAGCTTCTGGAGTTAAAGCTGGGTGGTGGGGGTGCTGGCCCGGGAGGGAGGCAGCTAGTAGGGCTGTGCGGAACGGCACCATTCCATTTTGACTTGCATTTCAATGGAACAGCATTTCGTTTCGAATTTCGTTTAAATTCGAAACTGCTGTTCTGTTTCATTTCGTCAAAACAGTTTTGGTGTTTCAACACTGTTTTGATGTTTCACCCATAGCCTATAATGGGGAAGCTCGAAACAGCCTATAACTTTGTCATTTATGGCCTGATTTGGATGAAACTTGCAGAAATGGCAGCCCCTTCTGAGGCCACGAAGCCTGCCAAGTTTCAAGGAGATAGGTGCAGGGGTTT